CCCATGGCAAAATTATAGTCACACAACATTTTGTCCTTTTCATTTCCAGAATTCCTTCATAAATTCTATGTGTATTTGCTTAAATGTTTAATCCCAAGAAAAACAAAACATACAATTGACCAGTGGCTATGTCTCAGTCGACCACTTTGCTGCCTTTGATAGCATTTAAATTAGCTGCCTAAAAGCATGCAACATGCCACAACTGTGCTTTGAAGTGCTGCATGTGGCAGGTAGATTGCGAGCATATTTAACACATGTTAAATGCGGAATATCCAGCGAAAAGTGCGAGCATCTTATGCAATTTGCAACGATCACCCGGAAATCATGCATAAAACCAATAAAGCTAAGCACATAATGATATCAATTGAAAACAAGCAAGTACGACTTGCTTTGGCACGCCGAATATTAGATACCCTTATAGAAAATTGTTTCTACAGGTGCCGCATCTTTCGAGCAATTCTTCGTATAGAGCTGTTTCTTAATATAGTACACTGATGCCGATAAGATTTTGCTTATAATAGTTGCCAAGTTTGGACAATATATCTTGTACTATCAAAAATGTATTCATACAAGAACTTAACTTTGACATGCCTTCTTCTTCGGTTAAAAAAAAAATGATAATACCCTCTACAAGGGTATCATAATTTAAGCATTTGAGCTGGCATATTTTATTTGCATTGCTTTGGTGTTAAATACCAGAGATTTTTAAATATACTTTACACAAAAAATACAAAATTCACATTTAAATAACAACTTGCGAAAAATCACGCAAAACTGCTGCAAGAAATAAAAAACACAACAGGAAATAAAAAATTCCGAAAGCAGCAACGAAAATCAATTAACGTACAAATCAACGTTAAGCATGCGTTTTAGGCAGAGTTTTCGTTTGCAGCGTAATTGCATTTGAGTGTGCCCGTTTTGTAGAGTGGCGCATTTAAGTGTGACCATAGTTCACTATGTTCGCTTTTCACTGTGACTGTCGTTGTATGCATATGTCCGTGTTTTGTGAGCCGTTGCTTTTCTTTTGGTCGTATTTAAATATGGCCAAATTGTCGTCTGATTGTTTTTAGGCCGTTTTTTTCTAACATGGCTTTTATTTGTGCCAATACTTCAGAATGCTCGCTTATTAATGTGCCTGTATATGTAGGCATATGTCCGTATTTACATAACACACAATCTGACCATATTTTATTTCTCCAAAGTTTCCTTAAACTAATTAGAACTATTCTTCTAGGAAATGGGTTTTTTTTAATATTTATTATAATGAGGTGTTTAGTTAGATATATTTGTAGACATTTTAGCTCATAAGGCTTATAAGTATTAACTTGATCATTTTTAAAATTTTTTACTTTGCAAACTGGACTTTTCTACATATTTCTTGCAATTAATCTGTTCAATCAATTTGCAAGCGAAAACCTTCTTATTTAATAGATTGATGATGACACGTAAAGATCTTCCTTTGCTAACAATGTTTAATTTTTGTTTGGCTTGTCAACTTTCACCTACTTCAGGTAGGCAATTTGGGAGTGTTTTTCGCATCGCCTGTTTAGCCTGTTGCCACACCGCTAAAATGAGTTTACGTAAATCTCAAGTATGCAAGCAAACAATTAGCATAATCAGCTGCCGTAATGGACGGCAAATTGTACCAATTTTTATAATTTTTCCTATTCAAATGCGGCAGTGGCAGCGTCTGTGGCTGTTGGTGTTGCTGTTGCTGTGGCTGCATCTTGGCTTTCCAGTCGAAAACATTATTAAAACATACATAAAAAATATGCAACATTTACAACAAGAGGCGACATCAACTTCCGCGCGCGCGAAATTAGTTGCACATCCAGATTTCTATCTGGCAGATGCAACTGCATTTCCAATTGCCATCTGGATGCGGCCTTTTTGGCCTTTGATTGCATGCCAACACAGTGCGCTGCAAGAAAGCAATAAAAATTGAAAGTTTTCTTCCCAAAGTGGATCGATTGTCCATTGTTGTCACGTTGGGCTAACTTGGGCAGTGCACGGGCAGACAGCCAAGAAATCGGGCGCTACCCAGCCCTACCTTGCCCTGCCCTGCCATGCCCTGCCCTGCCCGGCCCGGTGGTCCGCTCGATTTTCTCGCATGCGACAAATGCCAACGGAAAGAAGCTAAAACAACTTTAAACTGAATGTTGGGTCTCATCGTGCTGTGTTATCAGCATTAAACATACTAATTATAAGCACTTCCTTGCACCCTGGCGACACTACAGACCTCAACAACAACAAAAAAAGAAAAGAAACGAAAAGTGCAGAAAAACGAATGTAAAGAAACAATAATAAGCCTGTGGAGCCCATAAAATGTATAATGATCTAAATGCTGCCATAACAATGGACCCATAAAACACCGCAGTACCAACAACAATTCACTCACTCGCTCGTCAGCAGCAACAAATTAATAACTTAAGCGTCAGGCCGAAACACGTAACATTTTCCAACATTGTCCAAGCGTTGCAAACGCCGTTGTTGCACCTTGGTTCGAAATGCAAGCAAATGTGCTGCAATGATTGTTAGATAAGGCGTTGTCTACTATTTTATAGACTAAATTTTAAAAGCATTGAAAGCTTTTCCAAAAACTTGAGGCTTGATTAAACATAGCAAATACAAAAAATCGTAAATTTGAGCTTGGCATAGCCACTTGCATAGCTATAAAAGCTCTGTAAGTTCAGTAAAGCTTAAAGAGTGTATTTCATCCCTAACAAAGCTCATTAAAGCTTCTTGCGGTATAGCATCTCCGAAATTGAATTTTTTGCATATTTAATTGAATTCTAGAAAGAAGAAAAAAATGAAACTCGATTGAATGGATCCATGAATTGACTTATCCACTGTGCACCGTAGCCGACATCGTCGCTGGCCGTTGCCGTCGATGCAGCTCTTGTTGTTATTGCTGTGGCTTTTGGCCATATAACGCGCATGCATCGCATTCACGTATTCGCATTGGCAAGGTTGTTGATCTTCACATGTGGCATGTGCCCAGTTCCAGTCCCGTTTCAGTTGCCGACATGCGAATTTTATTATTGTTTTGCCTGGATTGGGATATATTGTTTTAGTTTCTACCAAATGCACATTATCGCTGTTAAGTGTGGCAAACGCTTTTGCCAGAATATAAATATAAATCATAACAAACTGTCGGCTGGTTATAAGCTAAAATGCACAATGAACCCCATTCAAAGGCAAATAAAAATTAATTAGCCAGCTGATTTATATTGGCCACAATCGAAATTGAAATCTTATTCGCAATGCCATTTAACAGATGCATCGCAATTTTTTTGGTAAATCAGCAGCGAGTGCCCCAAACAGTTGCGAACAGCAACTGCTGTTGCGGCTGTCCGAACAGTCTGATAAAAATCCTCATAAATTTTGTGCAACTCTTTTCTCTCCGTTAATTACAATGCACTTAATCAGTGACCATGAAGTAACCGAAACCTTTAAGCGCAGCGCATAGACGAAACAATAATAAAACACAAAGAAAATATACTTTTTGCCCAGCCACTCATTGTGCTGTGGCTGTTGTGGTTGAGATGTGCTGCTGGGAGATGATCGCGCCCGCGAAAGTCTTTAAGAGGCAAGCTAAGCTGAGAGCTATGCGCAGTACTGAGTTTTTTCGACAACATGTTGACTTACTTAAAATATATATGTTTATTTAGAATGATAAGAAGTATCATATATATCTTTAGTTAGATTTTAGAGTTTAATTAATTAATTAATTACACATATGTCAACTACGCGTCAGCCGGGACTGCAAGTCCACATAAAATTGTTCGGTTGACGATTTGAACCAAATTCGCTTTAATTTCTGATATTCCGGATCGTGGAGCTGAGTTTGCACATCTTAAAATCAGATCTAAGTTCAATGCTTATCAGAAAGCTACTATCAGACATATAACATAGTTATATAAATCCAATCGTTGAAGCGATACACGCTTTGTGACTGAGTCTATTTCAAAAGTTATTCATTTTGAACTTAACAATGATAGAATAGAAATATTGTTTGCGTTTCGTCTGGCTTTGCGAAATTGTTTTGGCTTAAATTTGGTTCATGGTAAACATTTATGGTCAAATACGGGTTCGAAATAAGTAGTTTGGTTCAAATCCAAATCCATCTTAGACCAACACCAAAACTGAGAACGTTATACATTCAATGGCGGAACTTGTTCATAAGAAACAAAAACAACTGAAGCCATATAGAAATAATCCTTTGGTCCTGCAATGTGCCAAAATTGAAACTTTCAGTAAATTACATATTGTACAGATGAAGCAAGACATATTTCAATCAACAGCGCATTTTGGCAAATTTTAAATTATACAATCAAAGTAATTATTATTATTAAACGCTTGAGTGTGTCAACTTCCAAAGCGCCGCCTACCCTGTTCAATCCCTCTCTCACTCTCTCTCTCACACTCTCTCCGGGCGCTAACAATGACAGGCGTAATCATTTCATTGAACTGCATTTTCACTGTCGTGTTGCAGCTTATGGCTTAATTGGTCAAAACGAAATCGAAATTGCAGGCTGTAACCAGTTCAGCATTTGACATTTGATTTGTGTTCGGCACCTGCGCTGGCCGCAAGTTCGTGTGCGCGTCCCACCTGGCGTATGCGTTACGGCTCATTATGATAGCCGAGCATATCACGCATACGCAGTGCGTTAAGTAGCCGTTACAATTTGAATGTGCATCGGATGATGGCGTTGCATTTGCCGCTGCTGTTGCCTTGAAAGCGAATGTCTCCGTAACTGCACATCTCCCCCTCTATCTCACTCTCACTCTCACTCTCACTCTATCTCTGCCTGTCTTCCTCGAACGTGCAATCTTTCTCTTTCGCTTTTGTTTGCTGTGTGTGCAATTCGCAAGTTTTCTTTGGCTCGCACATTCGCATAAATTTTCCGCTGCGCCGGCAACGTCATTATAAAAGCCCCGCCATAACAGCTCGCCGCAAACAATTCAAATCCAGTAACAGACGCGAAATGATCTTCGCAATGGCAACGCGTTGTCGGTCCACCAAGAGCCTGCACCTGTGCCTCAATCTGAATCGGTGGCTCTGCCTTACCGCACTAATGCTAATTGTAAGTAGTGCAATTGGTAGCTTCCAAGTGGCAGCTGCAGCTGGCAGAGCCTGTCAACAAAGGATTTTTCACTTTTTATATCGCTATTTTTTTATTGTGTGTGCGCGGCTCAAGTTTCAAATGAAAAGTGCTTTTCGAATCATAAAAATACATGTGTGAAATATGATATATAAAATCAAACAAAGATGCCGATGGATCTGACATTTAATATCCTTAAAAAGATTGACAAAACACGTTGCAGAAAACTACGACTCTTTGAGGCTGAATCATAACCTTTGGCAGATTTCAAAGACATCGCATTTTAGAGCCCATGCCAGAGCTATAAAGGATATTTTAAATTTAAACAGAAAAATGTAGATACATTTAGCATAAGTTGGGAAAACATTGAAGAAGATGGTTTAACAATTTAGGATATTCCTTAGGGTTAACGCATAAGGATATAGCAAAATTGATGCAAATGTTCAATATAAGTAAGAATTTTCTGTATAGTTTGACTGCAAGTAAGTAGGTTGAGACGATATCTCTGTTACGATCCCGATAGTCTACATAAGATAACGTTTCCATCTAATTTTTAGTAAGTACTTATCTATGCTTTAACAATGTATATGGGTATTGATAATTTATATACTAAATCGTAGCAGAATATTTCTTTTTGTTTAATGCTTGGTTGAAGTTTAAACCTGTTTCAATCAAAAAAGCGTAAGTCGCTTACAAAGTTTTCAAGGTTTGAATAAGTCTAAGTAAAATGTATTTAACTTATTCACACCAAAGTTCTTAAGGTTTTAAGTCTTCAAAATATTTAAGGGTTCTAAAAAATTTTGAAGTTTGCTTATATATGGGGCTAACTTAGTATATGTATATAGCGGAGGTTCTAAGCAAAATGAGCACGACAATATTCCCATATTTTTTCGATTGCTGTAAAAACGAACAGCAAGTCAAGCTAAAGCCTCAATTGGGCCCAGGATCGATTAAAGAAAGAGTAAGTCAATGTTCACTGAAGCTGTTTGGCTTGCATTTAACATACACTTTGAGATGGCATTAATCGCCGCCAGGCACTAAGCAGACGGCAATTGGAAATTGGCTTCAATCACAACAAAATTGCGTGCCGAAAACATTTCATGTTGGGGCGCCAAAGGCCCCGCTTCCCGCCAAACTCGAGTGCTCAATCGCTACCGCTACCAACATCCATATGCACGGGCCAATGAACTTGCAGCGGACGCAGCTCAAGCACCACATCGATCAGCGCCGTGGAGACGGTTGGCGGAGGCAACGCTGTCCACTGGCAAATGGCCCGTTCCCGATGCGAAAACACGAAAAAAAAAACATTTGCCTCCCCCTCCACCGTCGAAAGCGAAAGCGAATTGGTTAACTTTAATTAGTTTAATTACGAAATATATATATATATTTATATATATTTATGTGCGTCCACCTATCTGTAAACAAAAGCAAATGGCCAACTAAATGTGCGCTTTGCATTCACATGGCCGCCAATCGGCGCCAAACGACATCGAGCAGCCAAACAATTACCATTTAATTGCTTCACTTGCTGCTCTATCTCTCTCTCTCTCTCTCTCTCTCTCTCTCTGCCTTTCTCCCTCTCTTACTAACTCTGTACACACCCACTTCCATTTATAGTTCATCATGCAGCTGTCCCGTTGTGAAGCACAGTCACAGCCCCGCATCAGCCGTCGTCCGGCTGGAAAGACAAATGTGGAGGAGACCAGCGAGAGAGGCACCGTGCCGGATCAGCTGGCGCTGGCCGCAAGTCGATCTGATGGACATGGGCGCAATTATCCGCGAAGGGGCGGTGTACTACAGGCAAGGACCAAGGAAGCAACTCCAGGTGAGCTTTCAACTGAAACTTTTAAACGAAAGCTTCGAGTATTAATGGAGCTTGTCGTTGAAAGTAGGCTTCATATTCGTGAAACGCTTTTAATTGAAACTTTCTAATGAGAAGCTTGTGGTTTAACGCGAGCCTTACGATTAGCAATCAGTTAAATACTCGATGCTGTTAACTGAAACTTTTGAATAAAAGCTTTGAATAGTACAAGCGAATAGAATAGAATAGAGAATATTACAAGTAAATAGAGAGCTTTGCGATTATGTATGAAACCTTCGAATGCTACAGCAAGAACTTCTGAGCATAGCTTGCCTAAGAACAAAACAGCTATACAAAAGTAAATTGAAAGCTCATTAAAGCTTAACCGAAGTAGTGCAAAAAACGTTTATGAGATTAGAAGAATGTAATACCACAATAGTTGCACTTATCAGTCACTGTACACATGCCCCGCTAGAAAGCTGCCTAGAAGTTGGGATTCTGAGTTCAAACAACTGCCACATTTATTAGCTAATAAATTGCTTTCCAAATTGATTGCAATTGTTGGCGATAAAATTTACAGCCTGTGCCAAAAGAGTCTTTGTTGCAAATAACCTTTACCGAACATGCAAGCTGACTGAAGCTTAAGCAATATTAAAATTGGAAGCAGCTCATCAGCTTACAGGGCGAATCGACATTGAGAAATGTCTTTAGTGCGTATTCACTGTATTCGTGAAAAGCTGAAAAAGTGCTTATCAGCTGTGTGTTAAGCTAATGAAGTTTTGGAATTCAGTAACATTCTGAATGCTTCATAAATGAACAACTGCCACAAATAGAGGCTCATGCCAATTACTAATCACTAACCCTCTCTTTCTCTCTCGCTCTCTTTTTCTTTTATTTTTATGTGCACCCTTAGACTATAGCTACGGGCAGCTGGAGCTGAATCTAATACGACCCGAGCACGAGACGTCTTCATTGTCGCCGCACGGCAAGATCAGTGCTTACTACGGCGGCGGCATGAGCACAACAGCCGAATCCGTTGGAGCTGCTGTTGGTGATCTGAGTCACGAGAAGACTGTCATACTGGAGGACTCGGAGACTGCGGCCGAGTACGTGTCCAACGCTATGAAAATGGCCTATGGCACACGGCACAAGGAGTCACAGGCGCCGCTGCGCATTGTGGCCAACACACAGCGGCCCTTCAGTGCCAGCTCCAGCTCCAGTTCCAGTTCCGAGCAGCAGGCACATGCCCAAGTCCAGCAACAGCAGCATCATCATCATCAGCAGCAGCAACAGCAGCAGCAGCAGCAACACCTGGAGCTGGAGCAGGCCAAGCATGTCAAAGCGCAGGCGCATGCACAGGCGGCGCTGCTGGAGGCACAAATGCAAGCAGAGTTGCAGGCCCAGCTTGTGCAGCAGCAGGCGCTGCTTCTGGCCGAGCAGCAGCGACAGCAGCAGCAACAAGAACAAAAACAACATCAGCAGCATCAGCAGCAGCAGCAGCATCAGCAGCAGCATCATCAGCAGCAGCATCAGCAGCAGCATCAGCAGCAGCATCAGCAGCAGCAGCAACACTCAGTTGAGTCCACTTCCAGTGATTCGTCCCTACCCGCTCCAGCGCCCGTCTATGAAAAGGAGTCGGTGCCGCGAAGCTATGAGCTCTATGACACGCCCGCCCAGACCGAGCCCGTTAGCGGTGACATAGAACGTCTCTATCGCACGAAATATTATAGCTATCCGGCATCGCAGCCGCAGCCACAATTGTACCGCAACATCGAGGACGAGGCGGAGGAGAAGGTGCGCGTCTCTGCATCGACAGAAATACCTAAGGCAGAAATAATGAAACAAATCGAAAAGTCTGTCATCAAGTACATGAAGGAGCTGGAGGCTGAGGGCAAGATAATTACCACGCCACAGGAGCTGGCGCCACCGGCCACCAAAACCTACTACAAGCTGCTGTCGCTGCCCAGTTCCGGCGGAGCCAGTGGCTCAGTTTCGAGCGAGGAGAAGCGCTATAGCAGCAGCACTGTGCGTCCCAAGTACAGCAGTCCGCCGGCAGCTGGCCAAGGTCGTCAGCCGGGTCCGTCCATTCAGCAACATGGCCAATACCATGGACAGCATCATCAGCTGAGCAAGCAGAATTCGCATGCGCTGACCAAGCCGCAACGATACCAATCTGAAACGGAAACCGCATACCAAGCACCGGATATTTCCGCAGACGCACTGGCACCCAATGTGGAGTTCATCTATAAGATTAAGACGCGTGCGCCGCTGCAAACGGCCACTGTGAAGACCGTGTCGAAGCCTTACACCTTGCCGCTGAAGACGAGCGCCGAGCATTTTGATCATGGCGCTGCCCTGAAAAACATCGAGGAGTTCGACTTGTCCCATGTGGTAACGACGCCAGAGCGCGAACAGGAGGAGCAGCGGGTGACGAGCAAGCCGCAAAAGCTGTATTTCAACTCAGATATCTATCATGACATTAACTCATTGCCCTATAAGGCGGAAAAGTTGCGCGGCGCCAGCAGCAGTGCCAGCAATATCCATTCGGTGCAGGGTCAGGAGTACAGGCACAAGCTGAAGGCAGCCGCCGATCTGCATCCAGACTATAAAGGCTATTCGGGCTATTTTGCGGAGCCGGCGTCTAGCAGCATGGAGCTGGCCGAGAAGCAACAGCCGAGCGGCATTGGCAATGATGGCAGTGAGGAGGGCTATCCGCTGCCTTATCAATATGTGCTCAAGAAGGAGCCGCTATCCGCCAAGTACGAGGAGGAACGTGAAAGCTGGGAGCAGTCGATGCGCCTGGCACATGCCAAGCCCGCTGGCGGTGGCTACAAGTCTGCTGCCTCCACCAGCCTGGAATACGACAGCTACAGTCCCAAGTTTAACAACAATCCCGAAGGCTATGGCTATCAGCACACCTACAAGACGCAGCTGCTCCGAGGCGCTGGCGGCGGCGGCAGCGGGGTCAACTCTGGCAACAGCGCCGCTGGCAAGCGCGGCAAGCGAGGCGGTGCCCCGCATCCCTCCGCTGGTGGTGCGCCCGGCAAGAAGCTGTTGCGCAGCAACGTCGGCACTTCAGGCCTCGGTGGCGCTGTTGGCGTTGGCGGCAAGCTGGCCAAGGATCTGGAGGCCAATCTGGCACTGCGACCACCGCCCAAGAAATAGTCTGTTATATAGCTTATTATATGAACAATTTTGTTAATACCAGAATCTTATGTTGTTTTTTTTTTTTTTTGATTTTTTTGTTAGTTATTTATAGTTTTGCTATTGCTAATTATTTATTTTATAGCCAGTTGCTATTCGTGAGCATGGGCGGAGAGGGCCAGTTGCAGCAGCAGTTGTTACTCAACGAACCGGCAAAGTAGTAAACGGAAAAAAAATTTATATGCGCTAGAAAAGAAAACAGTTAGTAGTACACAATAAAAAAAAAAAAACAAACAAACAAGGATAAAGCTCGAAGGAAACTAGTAATAAATGTTCTTAAAGTGCACGAATTTGTAAAAGCTCTTCACTACGGATCGCTATAAATTGTTGTTTGTACTTAAAAGTTCTCACTTAAAGCTCTAAACTTTCAGCTTTGTTGACTAACAGTACTAAAAGCTCTTTACTTGGGATTGTGCTAGCAAAGCTATCAACGCGCCTTAAAGCTCTTACTTTAAACATTCAGCTTGGCTGGCTTACTTTACTCAAAGCTGTTCGTTGCGCATATCTTAAAATTATAGTTTTTTCTCTTAAGCTCATGTAGCTTTCAAGTTTCAAATTGATAAAGTTACAAAAGCTAGGCTGAAAGCTGTTAGTGATTGAAAGCTTGGCAAATTCAATTTGCTGTAGAAAGGCATTTTATTAACTCATAATACTTAAAGCTATTCGCAGTGGTTCTCTAAAAATTATTGTTTGTGCTTAAAAGTTCCAAAAACGTTCATTTTGAAACTCGATCAGCGTACACACTTAAAGCTCTAAAAATCATGGTTGACTTAGTTTACCTGGAGCTCTAACCTTAAAAGCTCTTAGGCCTGACTTGAGTTCTCAAGTTGACTAGCGTGTACTTAGTTAAAAAACTGTACCAACAGCTCCTCACTGCAGATATCGTAAATCTGTTAAGTATGCTTAAAGCGTATAAAGCTTATATGCTGTAGGGTATGAAAGTGAATGACATTACCCAGAAGAATCACAGTTTCAGAAAATCCACTTGTACTTTGCAAAAATATCGAAAGATACTGCCATTTTGCTCGTTTAGGTCTTTATGTCGTAAATACGACTTAGCTTTAAGACTAGCTTAAAAAAAAAAACCTAACTAACATATCTCTTAAAATTATACAAAACTCTTTTACTCAGCTTTTGGGATCCATCAGATTTTGGCACATGAGAATCTTAACTGAAATCAATTTTATTCAATACGCTTATAAATTTAAATAATTTAATATTATCTCGTCCATACTTTTTTTTATGCTTCTCCTGTCGAAAATAATACTCGCTTGTTTTTTAATAATACTCTGGGCAAAATTTTATTTCACAAAAAAAAAACAAAGCCTTAAACTTAAGTACATATTTAAGAAACAGACTCTCATCTGATATGAGAAAATATTAAAAATTATTTGGCAAAATGGGTTAGGGAGAATTGGGTCTAAAAGGGGCCCATGCCTATGCCTATTCATGGTGCGCATAATGCTCGTAGTGCTCGGAATGATGCACTGGCTCCTCGTAATGTCCATGCTCGTGCAAATGCGACTCGCTGTGGTTCTCCAGCACAAGTCCGTGATTGTGATTGTGTTCGGTTTTCGGGTGCAAGATCTTCAACTTCTGCTTGGTGCCGCCAATCTCGATGGGCTTCTTGACCAGATGCTGATCCTCATGCTTTATGTAGACGGGCACGGCATGATAGTGATGGAACTTAACGCTCTGATGCGATGTGGCGTGCTTGTGATCCACCTCATGATGCACCTCGGTCTCCTCATGTTCCGGCTCGTACTTGGCGTGCTCCTCATGTTCGTACTCGTGAATTTTCAACGCGCCGCTGAGTGCCAACAGTGCCAGACACGGAAGCTAAGTCAACAGAAAAAAAAAAAATAAACACACAAACACAAAACAAAAATCTATTAAAATAATGGAAATTGAGCACAAGGATTAGTTGAATGCAGGATTTGTTTTGAATTTTAATTTTGGAATTCTTAGTTGATTTATTTAAGTTTTTCTTGTGAGCCTTGCTCGGGCGGCATTTAAGTTTCTTCTTTTTTTTACTAAAATGTATTTTGCTTACAACAAATTTCAGCATTTTGTTTAGTTTTCGGCTTAGCACAAACACGCACAAAAAAATAACTCAAAAAAAAATATTATTTCAAAGGAAAGAAAATGTTGTTGTTTAGGAGTTTTCGCTGGCTGTGGACTCCTTGACGTTGCTGGACTGAATGTGGCTTGGCGTTTGGGACCAGATTCGATTTATACCCGAAAAAATGATGTGTGCGAGCCGATGCGAACAGGCTACGAGCCAGTGAAATGTGCAACACAAGCAACAATAAAAACAACAACGACAACAATTGAGTAGCTGCGGCAACGAACTTCAAAATGGGCAACAACAACAACTATCGAAATCGAAGTCATAGTCGAAGTCGAAGTCGTTAGCGGCATATAAGAGAAGTTGTCGCTAGCTTTGTTTATTATTGTTGTTTCACACACACACACACACACACACACAAACACACACAGATACACACGCACGCACACTCTCTTGCAGGCATATGCGTGTGAAACTCGTACAATTAAAAATTATTACGTATACGCCCGCCTGGCCCTCACTTGTGGCAGGCGCTTTTCCATTGAAAACCCGTTGCCAATTGTTGTTGTTGCTGTTGTTGTTTTTGTTGTTGTTGTGTGTGGCAGCCACCGCAGGCGGGTTAACCACCGCCGCCACCACTAACCGGTCGAGCGGTGCACAAATATGTAATGCAAGTGCAAGGTAATTGAACAAAAAATAAACATATTAAAAAAAATATATACACACTCATATAAAACGGTCAGGCAAAGAAAACAAACAAAGAAATACATATCAAATTACATTAATAAATAACATTCAGTTTGATTGGTTGAAAACCGTTGAAATTACGCCAATTAGCCACTTGGTGACATTTTTTACGAAAATTCAAATCTCTTTGGGGGGAAACCCCCCCTCACACATTCGTGTAGCTGGGCAATGGATAATTTTCCTGTTTTGCATGAGCTAATTAAAAATGGATTTTCAATAATTATCAGCGGCGCTGCTTGCAACAGCAGCGATAACAATTGTTGCAAGACTCGTTGCTACGCTTCCTCGTTCCAAGCCGCGCCCCAAAAAGCAAAATAAAACAGCAAAAACACAACATGTAAATGTAAGATTTATGACGGCTTTAGAAATTGGTGGCACGAATGATGGATCGACAGCCCTAATTATGAGGTAAGGTAAGACAAAGTGCTTGCAGCATGCTGCAATTTACGGTGTAACGCAAGGGTTTGGCAGTGAAAGGTTCAAAAACGTTAAAACGTTTAATGATTGTAAATGTTTGCGTAAATACTTTCCCAATCTTCTCGTGCCGCCAGCTAATTGACTTATAATCGAACTATCAAACGCTTAAATCAGTTTCCTAGTGCTCCAATTAACATTTAAATGCATATAAATAAAAGTGTTAGCAATTAAAATGCAATGCGATTAGATAATCATGCAGTGAATGTCTGTATTTGGCTCAGGAAGCTTGAAATTGCAAAAATTTCCCAAAAATAAAAATGCAGATTCGAGCCGAAGCTTAAAGCCGCTGCAAACAGTTTAAACTGTCTGCCAAATGGTGTTGTTGCAGTTGCTGCTGCCTTTTACTGCTACAGTGCCGTTGTGTGTGCAATCGATTGAATTTCTTTGGGTTAGTATGCTTCCATCGGCACCGCGAGTGCAGTCCGAAAGTAAAAGTAAACTACTTTTCTGCACGGCGACGATGAAATTTGCATAACAAGCCGCTCTTGCTGTTGTGTTAAACGCGCCTGCCACAAAAACCGTTTTAATTAATCATTTAATAAGCGCTAAGACTCTTACATAATATCAATCCTCTTCCCATATCGCAGGAAGTCGACAAACTAACATTAAGCTTACAAATTTAAATTCATAACCGTCACGTAGCCGGTAGCCAGAGATGCCACCTGTTTTTAGCGCAAGCGATTGTCCGATTACAATTGCCGACTCTTCAAACAGCTGTGATGGAAGAAGAAGCACAGCAGTAATGCGTGGATCAGGCTTAAAAGCCAAATGTGACTAATTATTAATTTGTCCTTTTTACCCATCTAAGAATCTCTTTCTGAAGTATTCTATAGAAAACTTGGTTACATTTTGCACGCGGAACTAGCTCTGATTCACATAGCTCCAAACAGTAGGAAAAAAACAGGAACCAAAACTGGTTCGCTGGCAGCTACTGATGATGAGCACTAAATTCTTAAAAGCAGGAGAATGCATTGCCATTGGATTTGTGGTAACTCTACCTAGCTTTTAATAAAATGTAAGAATAGAAATCGATTAGAAAACAATATTGGCCCTTTATTTATAAATTGGTAACAATGATATCAACAAGTTTCAAACATGCCGGGTTTTATAGAAGATACATCGAAAAAGGAGAATCGATTCGATAAAAATGATGCTTGTTCTATCGATATTGCGCGCGACGCATGAAATGTAACTGTTAATGCGTCGTCTTGCAAAAGCTGTGCCATGGATCTGGGTGATGCGAGTCTACGCACCGTTCGCATATTGGGCCAAGGCACCTTTGGACGCGTCTTCTTGTGCCTGCAGCGCGAGGGTCGCAATGAACGTAAAGTTTGTGTGAAGCGCATTATAATGCGTAATCCGAAGAGTGAGCTGGCGCTAATCAAGGAGGAGGTAATGCAGCACCTGAATATGCATGTTTATCGGTGGGCCAACTACTAACTGCGCTTCTTAGATCTACATCATCTCACAGCTGCGGCATCCGCATATCGTGCAATTCCTGCGCTACTTCATGCACTCCGGCACGGTTAACATTGTAATGGAGTATGCACCGAACGGCACCATGCGCGATGTCATCCAACGGACGAGCCAAAACGCAAATGGGCTGCTGGACGAACCGCGGCTGCTGCGTTTTTTTAGTGACATGATCCTGGGCCTGGAATATCTGCACATACGGCACGTAATACATCGCGACATCAAGCCGGAGAACATGCTGCTCGATGCGAACGATCGCGTCAAGTACGCCGACTTTGGCATATCCAATGTACATGCGCCGGACAAGCAGCAGCCGTGGCAGGTGCTCGGCACACCGCTGTACATGGCGCCAGAGATAATGTGTGGCGCCAAATGTGACTTTAAGTCGGACATCTGGTCGCTCGGCCTAGTGCTATACGAGCTGTGCATCGGTCGCAATCCCTTTGAAGCGCTGCTCCGGCCAAACGATCCCTTTGCCCAGGTGCGCAACGTTGTCAAGGCCATGGCCCAGCCCAGACTGGACTGTCAGGTGATGCGGCGACGCTACGAACCCATTTGGGCGCGTCTCTGTGAATCGATGGTTGTCTACAAGCCGGAGAAACGCATTTGCCTGCCCGACCTGATCTCCATCGATCCCCACATTACGCACAGCATCTATGGGCGTTACTTTAAGTATGACTATTAGTGAGAAATAATTATTTGTTGTAAACTGTCAACTCCTTCATGTGCTCCTTTTCCTCCTTTTGCAATTTGTAACTGTGCGCCTTATTAGCCTTGGCCGATTCGATCTGCCTTGATGCTTTACTATGACCATTTGTGATTAATGCTATAATTGTTGGATTGTCAGCCCTTGCAAGTCATCCTAAACATTGTTAGCTTTATTTCTAGTTATATTATACACGATGTAAGCCATAAATTGTAAATGTGGACTAACTACGCCTTGCGCTGCTGAATCTTCATCTTGAGACTCTTAACCAGCGCGTTCTGCTCCAGCTGCTGCTTGGATCGCTTCTTTGCCGGCTGCTCAACCTCAACCTCCTGCTGCTCGTTCTGGTGCTGGCGTCGCTTCAATTTCTCGCTTATTAGCTGTTGCATGCCCTTGGTGGGCTTGTAGTTGGAGTGCGTGGGATCAATGTTGTACTCGTGCGACTTGTAGACGGCATTGAAGCGCTCATCGTTTAGATTCACCTGGAAGTTATCCTCGTCCTGCGGCTTGCTCTCGCTGTTCTTCGACTTCTTTAGCTGCTTGCGACGCTTGCGCTTGCTGCTGCTGCTGCTTGCCTGCTCCTCCTTAAGTATTTTCGCCAGGCTAAAGTGTTGCTTTGGCTGCTGTTCCACGTCGTCGTCATCATCCAACAGCAGCGCCAGTTGCGCCTCCGCCTCGTCGTCGGCAGGCGTCGCTTTGATAAGCTTTTGCTTCTTCGATTTGGCCTTTTTGCTCAGCTTGGGTTGCTCATAGTCACCGCTGGCAAACTCCTCGGCAAAGTAGGAGTCGTTCATGTCAATGCCGTCGGGTATGGAGTCGTTGTCGCTGTCGTGCGCCGCATCCGGATCAATGCCCTGGAGTTCCAGTTGCTTGCGACGACGCTGCTCTTTGCGCAGCTTATTCTTCTCGCTGCGCTTTTGCAGCACCTTCTCGATGGGCGTCAGTTGAGATTTAATGCTGGCTGGTTCTTTGCTGTCGCTTGCCTCGGGCGCATCAATATTCCAGGACATTTCCATTTCATAATCTTTCTCCTTGGACTTCTGCTCCTGTGCATTGATCTCGGCCAGCAGATTTTTATACTTTTCGATGCGCTCCTTTTGTTTGAGACGTTTTACTGACTGCTTCGGCGCTGCTTCTGACGCTTCCTTCGCTGGCTTCTTTGTATTTTTCTGTAGAGCGTCAGCCCCATCCTCTTCTTGCTCTTGCTCGTCCTCGTCTTCGTCCTCCTCGCTGCTGTAGGCAACAATCTGGCGCAGCTCCTTGTCGTTTAGCTGATCCACTTTGCCGCTGGACAGCTTGTCGCCCAGTTCTCGCCTGTCCAAAGCCGTCTCGTCCCAAGTTAGATCCACCTTCGCCTGCTGCAGCGCCGTGGTGGTAAACTGTCGCGGCTTGTAGTTGCTCGCATCCGGCAGCTCATAGCACTCGTCCGTGGGCATGTCCTCGGAGAAGCTGGTGTCATCTGGTATGAAGCGCAAATCCACACGCGTCGCAGAGCTCTCGTACTCGATGCCATCGCATTCATTGTAAACCTTCTCCGCTGTGGCGGGGCTGTCGCACTCGACGACGGCGTAGTAATAGCGCAAGCGATTCAGCTGGTACTGGCGTAGCTTCTCCATGTGATAGTCGTCGCCCTCCTCTGCATCGCTGTCCTGCTCACGTACCAGCTCCTCGTCGGAATCCGGCTCGCTTTCGGGCTGGGCGCTGACCAGCTCGGTGGGGCCATGCACATCCTCCTCGGCCATGCGCGCCTTGCCATATTCGGAGGGATAGATTTTGACGCTAAGAACACTGCCACCGGGCGGCAGGAAAGAGCTGAGCAAGACCATCAAGTCCTGGGCACGTATGCGATCCCAGTCCATGTTGCACACAGCTAGACGACGTGTGGCTTCCTCTGTGCATTCCGCATCCATATCCAGCTCACCCCAGACATGATCGATTTGCAGCTCTGGACCGTCCTCATCATCGGTGCTCTCCTCATCCGACGAGGAGTCGGTCATAAGGCGTCCCTCGCCGCGGGCATAATCGATATTTGGATTCGTTAGACGCTTGCGTAAGTTTTCAGGCACTTCGGAGCCATCTTCATCACTGTCCAGCTGCAAAACATTTTTGACCTGGTCATCTTGTGTGATGGCCAGCTCTTCGGCCCGGCGCTCCTCATCCTCGTTGTCATTCGTCGCCTTTTTCTGCTCCTCATCCTCGTCCGAGCTCTCGTTATCATCGAGCTCGTAAAACTTACGCAGATCCTCGGCGTTTGTTTTATTCACAGGCCTGCCGTACTTGTCCACGGTGTACTTCACTTTAAACTTGTCATCGTCGAACATGCCCTGGAAGCGCTTGTCGATCTTCACCTTACGCTGTACCTTGGGCACGCCGCGAAAGCGCGGATCGGCCAGCAAATGCTGAAAGCGCTCGTCCTTCCATATGCCGCTCGCTTCTCCATCACCATTTTGGGTTTTAGCTGAAGTTGTAGGATTTTCCTGCTTCGAAGGTTTCTCCTGCTTCGAAGGCTTTGCTTTCGGCTTTATGGATTTATCCGGCTTTTTGGCCATGTTCTTACTGTTTAAATAAGCCAACAATACAGCAACACGTGCATAGAGATGTTCACAACATATCGATAGCCAAACATCTGTCTGAGCACAACCGATGATATCAATGTGAGTGTAAATTTAATTTTCTAAAACTATCGTATTAATCTTATATTTCCCCCAAGGCAAAAGACGTGCAAATAAGCTGAGGCTATATCTATTACACTTTGATATTAAAAAGATTTCATTCCAGACCTTCTCATTAGTATGCAGTTTATTATATATAGGCTCTTAGAAGTTGTCAATTTACAAATTTCGTGCAGAAACGATATCACTGAACGATGAATATCTAAAAGAGTGAAACTATCGTCACCGCTTCGCAATGAGCGAGCTGCTAACAATCGATAGCGATAGCTGCTAACTATAAATATTAAATCTTATCTTGGCGCAAGCAGTATAAATATTTAAAAGTTAATATAATAATACCAAAAGATCTGCTTGCATTCCCAATATTTATGTAGGTTCCAACTTATTTTGATTTTTTATATAAATTTGTTTACATACAAATATTAATGAAGGGTCTAATCGATAATATTTAAATATATTATAAAATTTTTACTATATATACATTCATACATTCCCCTTAAAGTTGTTCATTGAAAATTAATAAGTTGAATCATTCAGGCTTGGAGGGATATTAAATTTCCGGTTAGGCGGGCACAACTGTCAACCGATGGCAGCACTAGGCTAGTATTGCCAGACATTGCGAGCCCTTAAATTCCAATGCTGCCAATATGTTGGGCAATATTTTGATTTTGAAGTGACTGTGACTACAGTTACTCGATGCATATATAAACTTCACAAAAAATAACAAAAGGCTATTTACCAAAATGTTTAAATTTCAAATGCATAAAAGCAAGCTGCAATGTACATTTTTAAGAGAAGCGACTGTTGTTTTATTATGTATTAAATAACATCTGTGACTTGTTTACCGAAAGTAACTGGTGCGTAGGGGTTGTGCATCACTAAGCTCATAAATATAAGTAAATTATTTTGCTTTGCAATTAAATATAGAATAATGTGCTTAGTAGCAATGTTTCATTTAGATCCATTAAATTTGCACTAATTGTTTAATTTAATGTGCTACAACGTCTCAGCTCGATGACAAGCACGAAGCAACGCTGCGCGCATGTGTAGAGCGAGAGCGAGCAACGCTGGTTTGCATAGCTCTCTGTGGACAGCTGCGTGCGCTACGCTTGGAGGGGGGGACTTGCAAATTTGTATTTATTACTCATCCAGCGAGTATGATGCAGTCATCGAAAGATTTATAAAAACCAGGTCCAGTTGCAGGTCTAAGTTCGAGCTCGTTGCATATGCGCATAATTTGTTTAACAGATGTGCAATTTGTTGTGGGCGACATAAAATATAAAGTGAATGCGAATTCAATACACCTACCAACTGTGCGTCTGTGTGTGCGTGCGTGCATGTATGTGTTTATGTAAAGCCAAGTGAACCCCTCCGCCCCCTGTACATAGATTATTGGCACCACAACGCACAACGCCAGCTGCTGAGCGAAGTTAAATCGGGAGTGCAACCACGCCTGATGCCCGGCTTCCATCTCAATGAAATGGGCGAAATGGTCTTGGACGCCATCGATGACATTGGCGTGGTCGATGTCTACGATCTGGCATCGGATATTGGCAAGGAGTATGAGCGGATCATGGATCGCTATGGCACCGATGCTGTAAGCGGTCTGATGCCCAAAATAATCAATACCCTGGAGCTGCTGGAGGCATTGGCAACGAAAAATGAGCGCGAGAACTCTACAATACAGGAGTTGCGCGAGAAGATCGCCCAGCTGGAAAGCGAAAAGCTGGAGAAGGCAGAGTTTCGGCGACGCTTCGAAAAGGAATTGGAGCTAATTGAGGAGCAGTGGCGGAGCGAGACCAATGAGCTGGTTGATTTGGTTTCCTCGCTGCAGGACGAAAACAAGCGGCTGGTAAAGCAAACCCAAGACCTGCAATCGTCATCTGCACAAAGCTCCGGCTTGGGCGCCAGCCTAACCGAGAGCATCATCAGCATGACCAACAATGAGCTGCATAGCGCGCTCTCCGATACGCAGGTGCTACAGCGACTCAAGGAGCAGATCTATAAGCAGCGCGACGAGCTGAAGCAGCGTGAACGCGAACTCCAGGACAAGTACAGTGAGCTTGAGCATGTAAGTAACAGCCTTCAGATGATGAGCCTCCAGTTGATGTATTTCTCTTTTTGTTTTGTACAGGTCAACATTCAGGCGGAGCGCCTAAAAGCCTCGGAAAGGGACACGCGACGTCGCCATAAGCTAATGCAGGCGCAGGTGAAGACACTGTGCGAGGAGCGTGCCGATTTTCTAGCCCAGCTGCAGGATCAGTGCCGTGAGATCAATCAGCTGCGCAAGCGTTTGGGCCTTGCTGAAAAGGAGAATGAGGATCTGGTGCAGTCATACGATGATGATCAAAATGATCCAAATAGACCACGCTATACGACGCGAGAGCTCAAGGAGCTAATCAGCGAGCGCGACGAGCTGCTCACCACCATTGACAACCTCAACCAGCAGCTGGCAGAGCTGAAGCCAGCGACCAGTGCCAAACGTACGCGTCAAATATCCAGCTCTGATGACAGCGACGACGATGACGACAACGAGGCTGATGACGGTGTTGAGGCTGATGTCGACGATGACAATGTGGCTGGCGAAACGTGCGTATACACACACATTAAAATGTAATTAAAATTTCTAATGATTATGTACACCATTTTTATTGTCAGGCCACCTGGACATGATGCGCCCGTGCAGGGACCGCTGCCCTATGAACCAGACGACGCGCCCTGGAAGAAAAGCTCCGAGTCGGGCATACGCAAGTTGTGAGTGTGCAAAAAGAGATTTTGAAATAGATGCTCGTTTTAATTTACGCACGTTCGACTTATTACACTGTTTTGCGTGTTTACAGCTTTCGTAAACTTTTCTCGGATCCAACGGATGGCAGCAATACATTCCCGAAACGTTCCTTGGCCACACTCTCGAAGATGGCGCTCTCGGCCACGCCCGGCAGTGGCAGCCAGCCGAAGTAAATGCCTTTTAGCCTAAGCGACAAGTGCATAATTCCAAAAATTCTAATTATGTGGTTTGATTTTGTTTTATGTATTATTATTTTTTGTTCTTTCTTTTTATTTATTTATTTTTAGTCCCTGTCTGTCCCTTGCTATGTTTTATATGCTCGCTAAGTATTTACCATTTTCTTATTTTATGTACATAATTTACATATTTGATTGCTGTGCTCTCATAATCTTAAGTTGTTATTTCTTTTTTACGTGATTGCTTAATATGTAATTTTATTTTATTTTTTTGACGTTCTACTGACTTTAATATGCCAACATTTGCGCAAAATGCTTTCGTTTACTTACACATATATATAAGTATATATATATATATAAAGTATGTCATTGTACTACCCAATTATATGTATACTAACTAATCTTATCTATGACCAAAATGCAAGGAACTATTCTATGCTTGACTAGCAGGCACAACGGGCAACGGATTCCTTTCGAGACCGAACCGCATACACACACACAATATATATAGATATATATATATATGGATATACATTTTACATTACTCTATACATAATACATATTTACATAGCAACTTATCTAACCATTTAGACATACATACATACCCTATACATATGCAATGTTCCAAAGAACAAAATGTATGAGCAAGTTTTTCAAAGTTTGCAGGCAAGTGAGTGATTTTTGAAAGAATTTAACCAATTAGAGAAACCGTAATGAAATACAATAGAAATGAATAACTAGTAATTGTAGCGAGTTTTTAAACAGTAAACTAAAACGTATTCAAACATTTGCATAACACGTATTCCAAAGTTGTGTATTTTTCGAGTCTACTCTACTTACTGCTCGGATACAGTTTTAACAGTAACAAAATTAATTAATTAGAAAACAATCCTTGTAGAAGCATTAACAATTGTTGCCTCTGTTGCAAATCTTAGCCGAGGACTAGAATTCATGTTAACAAATTATTCTAAACGAGTATTGCAATAATAATATGGCAAATATATAGAAATTTTTATATATTTACTGCAATTAGCAATATAGGCAATCTGTAATCTATGTATAACTGTGTCTCCCTCTCTTTCTCCCTCTCTCTCTCCCTCTCTCGCACTCACTCTTTCTCACAAAATGTATCTGTATCTCGCTCTAACCCTGTAGCCAACTTTTAATAGCGAATTGAGCCTTTTTGTAGCAGTTGCCCCAAGCGGCCTTATATTAGAAAAAAATATGAACACGATCAAAATATAAAGTAAATGCATATTATTATTAATTAGCCAGCGTTGAATTGTAGCTGATGGTTTGTTGACAAATTAACTATAATTAGAGATAAAACGAACAAAAATTAACAAAATTGAAGCAAAATCAAAATCATATAAACGTTTTTTAGCCGCAAATTTTAACCAAAAAGAGAAAAATGAAAATACAAAATCCACAAAATATGACTAGAGTTGTTTGTTAGAAATTAATTGAAAATCATGTACCAATTTATATAGCTTAACAGTTTTCGTGTGTGCACCACAAAATGTTGCATTTGCCACAGTTGAATTATAGATTAAACATACTATATGATTATATTCGAACAGGTTGCATATTGTTTCCCGCTTCTTCTGGCTGTCCATCTCTATAAGCTTCTCGCTTCGCTCGCTAACTTCGCTAAAAATGCGCTTCTTTCGTATTATGTACAGATATACATCTCATCGTATCAGGTCCAAGCATATAGTACATATCAGTTTTTTATTTAAATTGAATTTGGTTTCGGTTTTAATTTTGAATGAATATTGCAAGCAACGAGAAATGTGCCAAAGACTTAAACGGAATTCAGCGGTTGCCATTGATCCCAGATCCAAACATTCTACACATAATCCAAACCATGTTAATTCCCACATTTACAATTACAAACTAATTATTTTTACTTGGCAACTGAACTCTTTTACACACAACAAAAATGATGAATAATAGAAGAAGCAACGGCAAACTGCAGCTGAACTAAAAACAAAAAAAAAAAAAAGAAAACAAAATGAAAGACATGCGAGTTTTTGTCTGAAGTATTAAAGCTATTAATTTATACTTAATTAAATTAGTTCGCTGTGTCGCAGAAATCTCAAGAACTTTAAAAAACGTGCACAAATCTGACTGAATCGATTTCGAACTTCTTTATTTTCAGTATTTAAAAAAAAAAAAAAACATTTCAGCAATTTGAAGATTTTTGATTTCTGTGACACAGCGCAAAATATGGAAATGAATTATACAAGTACATATATTCAATAAATTAATGTTGACTAAATTTATATATACATATACATATTATATACATACAATATATATTAACCAAATAACGCAAATTATTAAAAAAAAAAAAATTATATACATTATACAAAACATGCCCAGTTCTCGAGTATGCGACAGAGTTAATGGACCCCGCTCCAACAATATCATAGTACATGCTCGCAGCACACATTTTATGCATTTTATGGATGCGGCAAATAAAAGTGATGGCAAGAAAAAAAAAACAATTAAATCTATTTTACTTAATTTGAGTGACGCAATTTAGCGAAGAGTTTATCTACATTTAAATATTTAAATACAATGGGATCACATTTTCTATCAAATGTTTAAGAAATATCATATATATAAATGTTCGATGAAAATGTAGGAACATTTAACAAATTTTACAAATATTTATACAAATTTTACAAGTTTTATAATTTAAAGGTATAAAATTTCAAAATCAGACATTATTTACCCGAGATATTAAAAAGAAATCATCGAAAAAGATTCGATTTTCGCAAAAAAACGTGGTGATTTGGAAGGTCATATCTCCGCGGGGAGTTATGTCGTTTTGGAACGTCATATCTCCGCGCGGAGTTATGTCGTTTTGGAACGTCATATCTCCGCGCGGAGCTATGTCGTTTTGAAACGTCATATCTCCGCGCGGAGTTATGTCGTTTTGGAACGTCATATCTCCGCGCGAAGCTATTACCCGAGATATTACAAAAAAAAATCATCGAAAAAGTTTCGATTTAGGCACCGATCTCCATTTTGTCGATTTGGGTCAAAATTTTGGATTTCCTTTTTTTGATGCCAATCGATAGAATTGATCCTTACGAGTCAAAAATTGTATAAAATTCCTAAATCGGAAATTATTTGACGGAAATATTCCAAAATATCATCAAAAAGGTTGACTTTACGATCTAATGGTTTTTTTGTCTTTAGCATTTTTGAACCCATCGATGATTAATTTCTTTGAATGCCAATTGATGCTAGGGATCCGTACGCATTCAAAAAGGTATAACATTTTAAAATCAGACATTATTTACCCGAGATATTAAAAAAAAAAACATCGAAAAAGATTCGATTTTCGCAAAAAAACGTGGTGATTTGGAAGGTCATATCTCCGCGGGGAGTTATGTCGTTTTGGAAGGTCATATCTCCGCGGGGAGTTATGTCGTTTTGGAACGTCATATCTCCGCGGGGAGTTATGTCGTTTTGGAACGTCATATCTCCGCGGGGAGTTATGTCGTTTTGGAACGTCATATCTCCGCGCGGAGCTATTACCCGAGATATTACAAAAAAAAATCATCGAAAAAGTTTCGATTTTCGCACCGATCTCCATTTTGTCGATTTGGGTTAAAATTTTGGATTTCCTTTTTTTTGATGCCAATCGATAGAATTGATCGTTACGAGTGAAAAATGGTATAAAATTCCTAAATCGCACATTATTTGACGGAAATATTCCAAAATATCATCAAAAAGGTTTACTTTACGAACTAATGGTTTTTTTGTCTTTAACAATTTTGAACCCATCGATGATTAATTTCTTTGAATGCCAATTGATGGTAGGGATCCGTACGCATTCAAAAAGGTATAACATTTTAAAATCAGACATTATTTACCCGAGATATTAAAAAAAAATCATCGAAAAAGTTTCGATTTTCGCAAAAAGACGTGGTGATTTGGAAGGTCATATCTCCGCGGGGAGTTATGTCGTTTTGGAACGTCATATCTCCGCGCGGAGCTATTACCCGAGATATTACAAAAAAAATCATCGAAAAAGTTTCGATTTTCGCACCGATCTCCATTTTGTCGATTTGGGTCAAAATTTTGGATTTCCTTTTTTTGATGTCAATCGATAGAACTGATCCTTACGAGTCAAAAATGGTATAAAATTCCTAAATCTGACATTATTTGACGGAAATATTCCAAAATATCATCAAAAAGGTTGACTTTACGAACTAATGGTTTTTTTGTCTTGAACATTTTTGAACCCATCGATGATTGATTTCTTTGAATGCCAATTGATGGTAGGTACGCATTCAAAAAGGTATAACATTTTAAAATCAGACAATATTTACCCGAGATATTAAAAAAAAATCATCGAAAAAGTTTCGATTTTCGCAAAAAAACGTGGTGATTTGGAAGGTCATATCTCCGCGGGGAGTTATGTCGTTTTGGAACGTCATATCTCCGCGCGGAGTTATGTCGTTTTGGAACGTCATATCTCCGCGCGGAACTATTACCCGAGATATTACAAAAAAATAATCATCGAAAAAGTTTCGATTTTCGCACCGATCTCCATTTTGTCGAATTGGTGCAAAATGTTGGATTTCCTTTTTTTGATTCCAATCGATAGAACTGATCCTTACGAGTCAAAAATGGTATACAATTCCTAAATTGGACATTATTTGACGGAAATATTCCAAAATATCATCAAAAAGGTTGACTTTACGAACTGATGGTTTTTTTGTCTTGAACATTTTTGAACCCATCAATAATTGATTTCTTTGAATGCCAATTGATGGTAGGGATCCGTACGCATTCAAAAAGGTATAACATTTTAAAATCAGACATTATTTACCCGAGATATTAAAAAAAAATCATCGAAAAAGTTTCGATTTTCGCAAAAAAACGTGGTGATTTGGAAGGTCATATCTCCGCGGGGAGCTATGTCGTTTTGGAACGTCATATCTCCGCGCGGAGTTATGTCGTTTTGGAACGTCATATCTCCGCGCGGAACTATTACCCGAGATATTACAAAAAAATAATCATCGAAAAAGTTTCGATTTTCGCACCGATCTCCATTTTGTCGAATTGGTGCAAAATTTTGGATTTCCTTTTTTTGATGCCAATCGATAGAACTGATCCTTACGAGTCAAAAATGGTATACAATTCCTAAATTGGACATTATTTGACGGAAATATTCCAAAATATCATCAAAAAGGTTGACGTTACGAACTGATGGTTTTTTTGTCTTGAACATTTTTGAACCCATCAATGATTGATTTCTTTGAATGCCAATTGATGGTAGGGATCCGTACGCATTCAAAAAGGTATAACATTTTAAAATCAGACATTATTTACCCGAGATATTAAAAAAAAATCATCGAAAAAGTTTCGATTTTCGCAAAAAAATGTGGTGATTTGGAAGGTCATATCTCCGCGGGGAGTTATGTCGTTTTGGAACGTCATATCTCCGCGCGGAGCTATTTCGTTTTGGAACGTGATATCTCCGCGAGGAGTTATGTCGTTTTGGAACGTCATATCTCCGCGAGGAGTGGTGATTTGGAAGGTCATATCTCAGCGGGGAGTTCTGTCGTTTTGGAACGTCATATCTCCGCGCGGAGTTATGTCGTTTTGGAACGTCATATCTCCGCGCGGAACTATTACCCGAGATATTACAAAAAAAATAATCATCGAAAAAGTTTCGACTTTCGCACCGATCTCCATTTTGTCGATTTGGGTCAAAATTTTGGATTTCCTTTTTTTGATGCCAATCGATAGATCAGATCCTTACGAGTCAAAAATGATATAAAATTCCTAAATCGGACATTATTTGACGGAAATATTCCAAAATATCATCAGAAAAGTTGACTTTACGAACTAATGGTTTTTTTGTCTTGAACATTTTTGAACCCATCGATGATTGATTTCTTTGAATGCCAAGTGATGGTAGGGATCCGTACGCATTCAAAAAGGTATAACATTTTAAAATCAGACATTATTTACCCGAGATATTAAAAAAAATCATCGAAAAAGAGTCGATTTTCGCAAAAAAAGGTGGTGATTTGGAAGGTCATATCTCCGCGCGGAGCTATGTCGTTTTGAAACGTCATATCTCCGCGAGGAGTTATGTCGTTTTGGAACGTCATATCTCAACGAGGAGTGGTGATTTGGAAGGTCATATCTCCGCGCGGAGTTATGTCGTTTTGGAACGTCATATCTCCGCGCGGAGCTATTACCCGAGATATTACAAAAAAAAAAAATCATCGAAAAAGTTTCGATTTTCGCACCGATCTCCATTTTGTCGATTTGGATCAAAATTTTGGATTTCCTTTTTTTTGATGCCAATCAATAGAACTGATATCCTTACGAGTCAAAAATGGTATAAAATTCCTAAATCGGACATTATTTGACGGAAATATTCCAAAATATCATCAAAAAGGTTGACTTTACGAACTAATGGTTTTTTCGTCTTGAACATTTTGAACCCATCGATGATTGATTTCTTTGAATGCCAATTGATGGTAGGGATCCGTACGCATTCAAAAAGGTATAACATTTTAAAATCAGACATTATTTACCTGAGATATTAAAAAAATCATCGAAAAAGATTCGATTTTCGCACCGATCTCCATTTTGTCGATTTGGGTCAAAATTTTGGATTTCCTTTTTTTGATGCCAATCGATAGAACTGATCCTTACGAGTCAAAAATGATATAAAATTCCTAAATCGGACATAATTTGACGGAAATATTCCAAAATATCATCAGAAAAGTTGACTTTACGAACTAATGGTTTTTTTGTCTTGAACATTTTTGAACCCATCGATGATTGATTTCTTTGAATGCCAATTGATGGTAGGGATCCGTACGCATTCAAAAAGGTATAACATTTTAAAATCAGACATTATTTACCCGAGATATTAAAAAGAAATCATCGCAAAAGTTTCGATTTTCGCAAAAAAAAACGTGATGATTTGGAAGGTCATATCTCCGCGGGGAGTTATGTCGT